AGGAAATTAATAATTTCACAAAATATACATGAGGTTTAGAATTAAATTTTATAAGTACATAGGCATACAGGAAAATCAAGTGATCATTCATAATAAGAAATATACCAAGTAAATTTAATAAAATCGATAATGTTTGTACAGAATTATATATTTTTAATACGTGTCTATTTCAGGAGTTAGGTTGGAGTTCATATGTATTGCCACCATACCATACCACTCTGGATAGACACATGAGGTGACTCAATCTCATCTATCATCGAAAACCGTCAAAACTCGTTGCATTATTATTATTTAAGAATTGACAATTAATTATAATAAATCCCATATTAATAAAACAAAGATCACTTTATTTTTCTATCATCTTCTATCTTTCTTACACGCCCTCGTACTCATACCCCGAGTAGTAATATTATTAATACAATAAGAGTAGTAGCTCAAATAAGCACCCAACCCCTTAATATTTATTTTATGTAATTTTTTCTTTTAAGTAACTTCAAAGTTCTCTCTAAGTTAATACGTTAATAATCTTTTTTGAGCTACAGCAAGTGGGTGTTCTTTTTGGGTCACTACATATGTACGATTTATCAAGTCGTGTTATTACTGAACGGGCGCTTAAAGAAAATTTTATCGTGGCAGCCGGCGATATAGACGCGCTTTGGTTTGAATTCGTCACCAAAGACGATACCGTAATGGATGCGCTGCTTAACTTAGGTCTCGGGCCAAAGAATTCATCAGCACTTTAGTTTAAAGTACGCGAGTGCGTAAATTCGATTAAAGCAACGAAGCTCAAGTATCAGTTTGAAGAAGACCGCGTTCCACCGCCGGCAAACGTGTAGGTGTTCAGCGAAACCAATTCGGGCGCGTGTTCAGTTCAAGTTATAGAAAGACGTCGCGCAAAAATTTTCGATATGACGCTACCCCGTTTTGATGGCGATTACACTGAGTGGTGTACGTTCCGTTTTAATTTACTTATTGATCAACAGAATTTTCACTATGTTGATAAATTTTATTTTTTAATTGGTTATCTCGAAGGCAGTAGCGCCGCAGACGTAATCAATAGTATTCCAGTATCGGAACAAAATTATGCATTAGTCTGGTCGACTCTATCTAACCGTTATGATAAGCCACAGAGAGTGACGACTGTTTTAGTCAAAAAAACGCTATCGGCACAAATGTTGCGCCAAGAAAGTATTGTCGACTTAAATACGAATCTTAAAACTTTTGACGTGAGTTTTTCTTTGCTAAAAGCATTAAATATACCCGATATAGGGTCGTTTACTTTGTTTGCGCTATGCTCCCGTTGCTTACAGACCTCAAGTCGTAAATGTTTCGAGGCTGAAACGGTACCGAATATCCCTCAGCTGACGATGTAATTAAAATAGTTTAAAGACGAGTAGCCGTTTTAGAAAATGTTCAAGATTGTCGCACTGTTCATGGTAATTCGAAGAATGTTTATAAAACTAGTCGTAATGAGCAGAAAAGTCGGCTTCAGGTAATGTCGCAGTTAGCACAAAACTGATCAATAAAGTATCGAAACAATGCACAGCAGCAAAGGTGAACATAAGCTAGTTAACTATCCAGTTTTTATCGATTAGACTACATCAACTGTGGTATACACGATCAAAAAAAAATGTATCATAATAAGGGTATAATAACAATTTTGTCAAAAATAATTGATTAATAGTATTTATAAGTAATAATGATTAATTATTAGTATATACAATAGTTAAAAGTTCATAATCAAATGCATATTAAGTATAGGTTGTAAAAAAAAAAAAATAATAATACGATAGTAAATAAGTATGTTAAGTATAAAATAAAATATTAAAAAAATTGTAACGCGTATCCAATATATGGAGCGTGTACAACAAATGATCAGTATACTGTTAAACACGGCACTTAAATCGACACAATGCGTCTGTGTGTATGCAATACCACATCCGTATACATAAAATGATACTCTTACGACAAAAGTACGTACATATATATATATATAGGGGTATACCCTTATATACTTCGACAATTGAAAAACTTTAGTTCCGCACTCGGCACAGAAAAAAAGTTGTCACCGATATCAATGATTAAACAACCACTAGTTAAATTATGAAACAATTTATTTTATAAGAAAAGAAGAAAAACCCGTACGCAACAAAACTAAAAAGTAACCAGTTAAGGTGTACATCGGAAAACGATCAGAACGCAATATCCGTAATCCATACTCGGCGGCGGCCTTATCTCGGTGTCAAGGGCGGGGAGACAACCGATTGTCATATTAATAGCTGGACGGCTGATTTCGAGAGAGACACGGGTGAGCGACAGCCTAAAGCGACGGGCGGTGCCGTGTCAATTGTTCCTATAACATTTTAAAACAGTATAAGAAAATTTAATGATACCTAAAAGATCATTTTGTTCTCTTCATATATAGTAATAGTCATTAAAAATAAAAAGTTCAAACATTTTTCGTTTTTCTAGAATTTTGTCCTATGTAAATTGAAATATTCCTGTTTGATTCTGTAAATGAATGGTATGGGAGTGATACTTAATGTTGAAAAATATAGTTTTGTTTTTGGATTTAACATTTTTAGTTGTTTTATTTATAACTTTCATTTGAATCCATGAGTTACAATAACAAAGAAATGTTGCCAACACAAAATGTACATCTTTAGTGCGTTTTTTTTTTTATTAGTATTGATACTGTAAAATCACTTGATACCTTACTTTTTATTGATAATCTAAATTCCTAAGCTTCAATTGTTAATCGTTGAACTAATTATTTAACCACCATTATTAGTATGAATTGTTTATGCCTCAGTGATATTAATAATTTGTATTTTTCGTGATTTGAGATTGTTTAAACGTGCTTTACAAATGTATAACTTATAATGTATATAAACAATGTTATAATTATTATAAAATTATGGTTATTTATTATATAACGATGTGAAATATAGTACTACATTTTTAAGACATGAAATTGTTACATGTAGATATGGTGTGACTAAATATTGAACATTGATCATGAATATCGTGTAACGTTTATTTCATTAGCCCTTTAAAGGTTATACAAAATTGGTAATTGACCAATAATATAACGTATAATATTTGTTTAACTTAAAATTAAAAAAATCATAAATGTAATGTTAAGCCTTTTTCGTCGAGTTTTTAACAAAAGGTCGTGTATAATTTTCAAAAAAAAAAATATATTTATTTAAATAGTGATAAAATGAATTTTTTGTTTTTGAAACGTTTCTTCTAAAATTAAGTAAAATTTTTGGAATATTTTTCATAAAAAAATATAACTCATAATTAAAAATAATACGTTTACTTGGTAAAAATGATAGCGTCGTATTAGATATTTTTTGAAAAATGGTATTTATAAAATTTATTATAAACCAATTTGTTGATTTTACATGCATCTGTAAAAATTTAAAATTTAAATTGATTGAGTTAAGTTATTGAAAATTGTCTACTGTCTTTAACAAATTAATTTTCTTTGAAATGCTAAATTTTGTTGAATGATTTTTTTCATTTCTATACTTTTTATTTTTGTATGAAATAACTCAACAATTTCAATACAATATTTTGATATTAATTAATAGTAGTTTTACAAAGTTAAATAATGTTTTTGTTTCAATGCTTTCATTTATTTTTTTTTGTAACTCTACTTTTTGTGTTAAAATATTAACTTAAATTTGGAAGGATATTTACTTCTGAATTATTGTTTTATGGATATCATTCTGTTCAGAGTTTATTAAATTAAATGAAATGTTAATGGGAGATCCTTCTCCATTAATAGTAGTTTTCTATTTGTATGTGTAATACAACTGACATTTGATTCAGTGTCAATAGTTATAGGTATATTAATATCATTAAACATAGCAAAGAAGTGTAAAGCAATAGGTGTGATGTAGTTATTTGCTGAATTAAAAGATGAACTATTTGTTTCAGCAATGTTTAACTTCGATTCTACTTTTTTGGATTCTTAAGGCAATTAAAAACTTGTAATATTGCAGAATTTATACTAGTTTATTTATTTAAATCTTATCAGTTAGCAGTGTGTGCATTAGGTGTAAAGTATTAATAGTTGTGTATGTGATAACCTCCGCCAGTCAACCGGTCAGTTATCTTGCCATCCTATTAATATCAGTTGACCGTACACTGAGCACCTGTACCACTATCTTGTATTCCCCCACAATGAATTTAAAATGATATGAAATAGTAAAATAAGATAGTTTAATCTAAATTTCATTTTATATAATGATCAATTTTTATTACTGCAATCGTCACTATCGTAATATTTTTAAATTTAACATTTAACAAAATAAAGTATATTTAAAATTATTCATTGTTTACACAGTCAATAAAAAAATTTTAAAGTAATTTTGGATCCTTGTTGAGGAATATATTTAAACCTTGTTTAGCACTTTTGTATTGCAAGGCCATTAGTGCAGTGTCATCAGGTTTGTAATCAGAAGTAATATCCCATTTCCAGTACTGATCATTCTCTAAAACAGCATAATTTATTTTTGATTTCATTAATTCTCGACAATTTAAGAATTGATTTTTGTAGTATGCATTACTCTTTTTACTAGTACCAAAAATCATCCACGTAATATTCGCAACACAGTCAAGAGGTAGAGTAGAAATATAATACTGTTTAAATGCATCACAAATATTATTTAAAAGTTGTTTAAAATTACTTACTATCAAGGCAAGTTGTGGAACATTAATTTTAATATTAAACAAACTAAATTTTTCTGAATAATCTATATTTTTAGTCATAATTGAAATTCTATCCAAAATTTCAATTTGATACAAACAATATCTGTCTGCAAATGTTAAACCAACGCTTTCAATAACATTTAAATAGTGAGTATAACATTGTATAATATTAGTATTGTTTTTAATACATGGTTGAATGATATCTCCTAATTTTTTACCAACTGTACCGTTAATAGGTACAGGAACTTCTATTTCATTTTTTCGTGTCCATGTCCAAGGTTTTTTACATTCCCTTGGGTTGAATAATTCATGAGACACAACATCGGGATCGTCTAATATAGTATTTTTATTGTAAGGCATAGGACAACGAGCTATATCTTTACCTGTGTAATATTCTTGTTTTTGTAATTTCAACTGTATAAATGCAGGATATTCTCTGATGAGTATATTCAAATCATCAATAGTAATAGATGTTTGATTTTCAGTATTCTGTCCCAATTCATCAATTGTATAAACAGTTATAACATTAAAAATTATTATTTTTAGTAAAATAATACATATTTTGCTATAATAGTTCATTTTTATCTGTAACAGTAAAAATATTCAGAAATTAGTTTAATTTGTTATTATGAAATGAAAATAAAATGGTAAATTTATCCAAAAAAAAATTTTAATATTAATTTTTTGTTAGATTCTAAATAAGATCCGTTTACTTCACAGTATTAAACAAAAATAAATGTACTTGAAAACTATAAATTTATACCTCTCAAGTGATTAATTATTTGTTTTACAGTAATGATTTATTTTTAGTATTTATATATATATCGTAATTACTTTATATGTAACCTATTTTAGCGTCATTATTTATTGGTTTATGTACTCTTTATATATTTTAATGTGATTAAAAAAAATTTTTTTTTGGTAAATTTTATACTTCATATTGAAATATTTTTAAAACATAAGTATTATAAAATAAGTTTCTGATAATGTGACAGTTCTTAGTCTTAAGTGTATACTTTTTTAAAGTGTATTATGCAGTTCTTTTAATGACAAAATAATTATATTAAAGAGTACTTTTCATATAGTTTAGCCGACATTAATATACATTTATTAAGTAATTCTGACTATATAGAGTAATTATTTTAATGGCAGGCACTCGATTTTTTCAAAATAATAAGTTGTGTGAATGCTATGTTTTTGCTTTTGTTAGCTACATAATATGTATCTATATATCATATTATGTATCTCTATATATGTTATGAGTTTTTTTTTTCATCCAGTATATGTTTTAGAGATGTCAAAATTATATTTTTAAATAGCAACATACAAATTTATCTAATGTATAAAAAAAAATTTCGTAATTAATAAAGTGACTGGTCGATAAATATTTTGGATTAATGTTACGGAATACGTTCATAATTTTATGATTAGGCGGAAAAAGGAATATGCCAAAAAATGAATGATGATAAAAATTGTAACTACCAAGCTTCACTTCAATTTATATTTTAAAATACAAAAAACTTTCAAATATTATTCCTAGAGTTGTGAGTTATTTTATTAATTAGATCATTTTCTATTTTATAAACAAGTTAAATATACATGTTGCAAATAAAAAAATTCTTAACGTGACAATATGTTCCTGTTCATTTTTTGTATATTTGTATATATTTATATTTCTACTTATTTTGGTTAAACAGAATGCGTATTGAGACGGCATTTAATAAATTATTTGAATAATTTGTAATTAGTTTGTGTGCGTTAACTGTGTTGTAAATGCTCATCGACCAACAGGTTTACAGATATTAAATTGTGTACACTCCACTCTCCAACCTTTCTAGTTCTCCGATGCATTAAAAACCACTAAACGTATCATTGTATTTACATTGTCCAGTGTGTAATAAATAATTTTTCTATCTTGGTTCCTGTAATTTCCGACTCTTCTCAAAGGCTCGAGTTTTCTAGGCGATTCTATTCGTCTGACCTGTTCGATACGCCGGTTTTCGGAAATAAGCTATCGTTGGATCTTGTACTCTAATTTTCGTCCAAAGCAGGAAATTTTTTTTTGTTGCGTTCGCTACAACATCGTATTTTACTTGAGTGTCCACTAAAAATAAACTAAACAAATTATAATTACAATTATTCTTTGTTTATACACCAAATAACATTTTTTTTGGTTCATTGTACAGAAATAGATTTAATCCTAGATGAGCATTTTTATATTGCGTCGTCGTTAATACAGTGTCATTTGTTTGCAACCAGAAGTAATACTCCGTTCCCAGTACTGATCATTGTCTAAAACAGCATAACTTCTTTTTGATTTCTTGAATTCCAGACAATTTAAATATTGTTCTCTAAGTTTTTGAACGTAGCCTTATTCCCTTTATTAATATTAAACATTTCCTCCCTGTAATTTGAAATACATTCATGAGGTACAGTAGACACATAATATCGTCTAAATATAGCATAATATTATATAATAGTTGATAAGTATTTTGTACAATCGAGTGAAGTACTGAAGTATAAGTTTTAATATTAAACAAATTAAATTTTTTTTAATAATCTATAGTTTTAGGCAATACTAAAATTCTATCCCAAATTTCTACCATAAATAAACAAAATCTATCTGCAAATGTTAAACCAACGCTTTCCATAACATTCAAATAGTGGGTATAACATTGTATAATATTGTTTTTAAGAACATGGTTGAATGATTTCTCCTTATTTTTTACGTATACCATTTCTTAAATGGTTTCTTAAATAACAACATTTGAACTCATACATTTGATGTTATTCTCATCATTTGTAGATCCATAGGTATGTACAAAATATGATTAGTGATAAAAATAGCGTTACCTACTTTCTTACTTCTAGTGATTTCAATAAATTATTAATAACTCTGAAATATTCGGGCAGAGTAGTTATTAACAAGTTATTTCCTGAATTAGATTATTTCATATTTTTTAAGCTGATTAAATATGTAAGTTAGCATTTTAAAAAAAACAAGTACATTAGGGTCGCAACATAATAGGGACGCAGCACAATTGAGTCCAGCATAGATGATACCTGACTATCAAAAAACTTATATCAAATGAAAGGAAAATAAATAAGGTTTCAATATAAATGAACTATTTTGATCTGTTTATTTTTCGAAAAGTTGTGGTAGTTTTTAATATCAAAATATTAACATGTTAAACAGTGATTTTTACATAAATATTACATCTTTTGATTGATTCAGTGGCCATTTTCCCATTTCAACTTATAATATTTATCATAAGCTTCAATTTAATATATATTTAAACCTCGGAGTATTTCCGGGAAATTTTTAAAAATTAAGTTGACAAAGTTAATTTTTTGTGAAAAAGTTTTAAAATTTGAAAATGTTATTTTAAATACCCCCCTGTGCGCAGATGAAGGGTCAGATTTATAAAAAAAATATATCAAATAAAAGGTAAAGACAGTGGCGGAGCTAGCCTGTGCGGAACGTGATTTGCGGGCTCCTCCCAAATTTTTTTAAAAGACAGTAGGGTAATAATGGGGATTCAGCCCCATTGGGGGAGTATGAGGTGCAGGTATATTGAATACTGTAATCAACAAATTATCATTCGAAGTCCACATTCCAGGTGTGTGTGTGTGTGTAATTATTTAAAATAATTCCTTGCAAATAGTTTTATCATTATTTTAAATGTTTATCATTTAGGTTATCAATTAAAAATTTAGGGACCTGGAACACGGTTAGAAAAGAGATTGAAGCCAGGTGATATTAGGGTGAACCAACTTGATGCTGCTTGCCGCAATCACGATATCATTTATAGTAAATACAAAAATCTAAAAGACCATCATAAAACGGACAAGGTGTTGGCACATCGGGTTTGGGAACGAGTGTTAGCCAAAGACGCTAAATTGCCTGAAAGAATCGCAGCTTGGGGTGTGACCAACGCGATGAAATTGAAACGTAAACTCGGTATGGATTTCAAACGAGTCGTGCTTGTGGCCAAACTCGATAAAAATGCTCAACAAATGGATTTACTGAGTGTGGCAAAACAATCGTTGAAGGCGGCACTACGTGTGGTGTAAAAAAAAAATTCCACTGCTCCGTACCATAAACGTTCCGAAAACTAAAGGCGGTGTACTACCGCTTATACCTATATTTGCCGGACTGTCGGCGTTGGGAGGTTTAGCCGGCAATGCTTATTTACAGAGTAAATCAACCATCGTCTTTTTTGTTGCTCACCGTTTAACCAATGTCTAATGTAGTGAATGTTACTAAAATTTCGTCCACATTCATTTTTTGGAAATTTTTTGTCTGTTACATAGCAGGGCCTTTTTCAATAATTCTAGTTCGCTCTGATTGGGTTAAAATTTTCGGCCATATATAGGGATCACTTATGTCGTAGATGTCTCTGGTTTCATCATTCACCTCAGCCTCAAATTGATAATATTTCTCTTTTTCTAAAGATGATGGTGTCGAACTTATTAATAACAGATCTTTCGTAAGCGGTGATCCCGGTACTGGTTTCTGGGCTGATCTCTGTTCTAGCTGCAGTTCTGAAGTAGCAGACACTGACGGGGGAGTTAATGAAAATGGATCTGCAGGGGTAGGATAATTATGTGCTTCAGGGATTTTTAAACTTGCACTGTCTAATCCTAATGGACCACAAGTAACAGTTTTCTTTGGAATTTCAATATCACTACCGTTCTTAGTAGTTTCAGCTTTTAACAACTTGGTTAATGTGTTACGAAGCTGCCCTTCAATTACTTTCCTATTTTCATTTCTTTTTCTTTTGGGATTTCCAGAATCATATTTTCTACCAATATCTCGATTGCGGGAAGCCATTGAAAAGTCAAACATAATATAATATAATATATAAAACTTTATAAGTCAATAAAGAATGAAGTTTAAACAACTGGCTGTTAACATTATCACCACAATTTACTACGCACTATAGGTTCAGTTATTTAATCACAATATAAAGCAAGTTCAAAATTCCTACTATTTTAAGATATCTAATGCAATCAATTGAGTAAAATATCAATACTATATATTGAATTTAATCTAAATGTATTGCAAAAAGGTTTTACACAAAGTAAAAAAATGTGTTCAAGGTCATACTTTTACATTTCAGTCCGGATTGCGGGGACTCGATTTAAAAAAAAAGTCGAGAGTTTTTGCTCAAATTTCCAAAACAGTGTGATCGAGTAAGTTTCAGTAATCTGAAGTCGCTTAACTCGAGCTTTTATTTAAAAGTCTCGCTACTGTCAAATTTTCTATAGTCTGTTTCATCGCAGCTGGTCAGTATGTTTCATGCTCTTCCCAGGAAACTACTTTGAGGCCCCATAAGACGTAGGGCTCCATAAGGCGCAGGGCCCTGTGCGGCCGCACAGTTTGCACACCCCTTGCACCGCCAATGGGTAAAGACATCATAGCTAATAGGCTATTTCCACATAAATTTTTAAAGAATATGGTATATAATTTAGTGTTTAGTATTACAAAAATCACAATTTATAATATGAATAACATAAAAATAGATTTTCTTTTATGATCCTTCGTATTTTATCAGGGTGTTAATATTTAAATCATTATGTAAGTTGTATAGCTTTTTCTAAATAAATAAATGTAATCATTTTCATGTAAATAATATATTCAAGTTACATTTTTAATTAATTAAAAGATATTGAAATAAAAATAAAATAAATATATACGATTTTGAAATA